TACGGGCGGTTGGTGCTGTCCCTCTCGGCGTGGTTGTAAGGCTTCTTCCAGCATGTCAGCTCTGTCGGCAGTGGCTCTCAGGACCTTTATGTCCGCCTCCTTTACTCTAACCCTGATCTCAGGAGAGAGCACGGGTATAAACTTCTCCATGACCATAAGCCTCTTGACGTCTTCAGCTGACTTCGCTCCTTCGGATTCCAGCCACTTCAGGAACTTTCTCTCCATGTCCCTTGCCGTTTCCACGAAAGATTTTCCTGGCGAACGGGTACATTCCCTGAATCTCTTCCTGTAACATTCCGGCGTTAGCTTGAAAGAATGAAGCACAGCCCTCTTTACAGCATCGTAGTTGGTGCACTCCCTGAGGTCGAGCATGTTGTAGGCTTCGCGAGCTTCACCGGTGAGCCTACTCTGAACCAGCTCCGCCCACTCTGCTCTCGGCCACTTCTTCAATGTAGCGACCCTCTCGAAGTGGTCAAAGAAACCTTCAGCTTCGTTGGGCACAAAAACCGGCAAGTCTCGCTTTCTCACTCGGCGGTCTTCCTGCTGTGGAGGGGCAGGTGGGACTAGCCCTAGTTCAGCTCGCTTCAGCTCAACCTCTTTGTTAGCTTCTACCTCTTGCTGTTTCAGCCTAGCTTCTAGCTCGCGTTCCTCCCGTCTTAGCTGTGCTTCTTCACGCCTCAGATGTGCTTCGTGCTCACTCTCTTCTTTTCGCAGCTGTGCCTCTCACTCTTGTTCCTCACGCTTCAGATGTGCTTCTGCTTCTCGCTCTTCTTTTCGCAGTGTGCCTCTCGTTCTTCCCGGCGTAGCTGTGCCTCCAGCTACAGCTTCAATATCTCCAGCTTGACGCTGCACCTGCTGCCGCTGGATCCCCTGCTGCTTCCACCAATACTCAAATGTTCTCCCACACTGGCAGGTGTCTGTGGCCGTTCCTCCCCCAAAGCCTCATCACGAGCCCTGAGCTGTGCCATGATCTCAAGTCTTCTCTCTCCCACTTTGGAAGATCTCAATTTTATCCCAAAGCAGTCGGCTATCGATTGAAGCTGTGCCTTGGTGCAATCCTCCAGCACCTGCTCATCCCTTGTGTCAATGAATCTCGCTACTTTATCATCCTCCATCTTGTGCTACGAGTGATAACCTGTACCTGATACCTAATACCACTGTAAAGTACCACAATTGCAACCTTAATCGTTATCCTGATCGTAATCCTAAGTACTGGATCCTGGCGAGGTGCCAATGTCGGGGTGTACGATGGGAAAGTAACAGTGTATACAAGATCTTTATCCCGGACCTCTGGCAAGATCGCCAATGTCGGGGTTTACCTTAGTTGTAAGTATAAGTATAAGTATAAATGACTGTACTTAATATCCTGTCAATGATCGCCAACGTCGGGGTGTCTCTCTCTCTACATAGACACCACCCAGTGGTATTAGCGATAACTGTTACTCACCGTAGCCCTGCGGGTCTTCACTCAATCATCGCGGCACCACTGTTCGCCAGGAGGGTATCCCAGTTAATCTCCAGCCGGCCTTTATAGCCAAAGAAGAGTGAGAACACAGCTGCTCTCTCCCAACCGTGTGCCCGCCCCGACAAGGGCTCTACTACTAACTGCAAGGTCGCCAACTGGTGTTTCCCGTGTCCAGTAACACGTCATTGGTATTGTGGAATTGTGGTACTAGTGGCAGAGAGCTCACTCATTAAATCTGGTCACAGGCAGGTATATGTCTCTAATACTCTCACTCTTTGGAACTGTTCTATAGCAACAAGATATATAGAGGGATAATACAAACGCAAAGGTATTTTGTATTTCACTTAAAAAACACTCAAGGGAGTATATCCATATTCAAAACGAAACATCAAGTACATGCAGTAAGTAACTCTCTCTTCACAAAACTGGAGCTCGTCTAGAGGGCAACACGCCCCCTCCTGTCAATGTCAGCTTGGCAGCCCCCCCTCACCGTACGAATGCTTATGTACTTGTTTCATTGGCGTTAAGCGCCTATTTCTTTGAATTCGCAGGGATCACTATGTTTGTAATCAACACAATATTTTCAATAATGGCAATAGAACGCAATGAATCACCACACTGATTTCAAGTTCAATAACTCATTTCTACAGCAAATAACATAATATTTCACTATAATGGCATAATGCACTGTACTTCATGATAACGATAATGAATGCAATTAACCACTGTACTGTCCTTAGATTCAGTAATTCCTTTTGCAGGCAATAACACAATTAATCACTGCACACATGGAAATGTTATTCAACACACCAACATATGCATATATATATGGATCAATTCATCAATATCAATAATAATAAGATAAATACTGGGCACACAGCCTAACACTAATAACTGGTACACTTATATATATATTCTCTGACATAAGTTATCATATTAATGTAACATGAAAGAAATCATCCACGACACAGTAAACTCTTCAATGATTACAGGTGCATCCACACACCGCAAATATATATACCGTGAGAGCTTTCTACAGCCTCACTTCTCACAACTGTGTCCTACCGTGACATAGACATTGGTGAGCCTTGCTCACGACATGAAAGATACTCTGGCTAAATATAGCTGACTCAAGGGGAATTGGGAGGGAAACTACAATCACCTACTTCCACCTCACAGATGTGGACTCGCCCTCCAGTGAGAATTGAATTGTAGCTCCTGGTCCCGGCTCTTGCCTCGTTGTAGGGAACGCCCCCACACACACACTGATGCTTTCTCCAGGAACCCAATCAACGTCCCAAAATAAACGCGTCGTCTCCGTGCTCTGTTCTCCGCAGGTCCGTGCTCCTCCACAACTTCTTGAAGGGTTAGAGTCGGTCTCCTGGCCGTCGACTTCTCCTCACAACTACGGCTGCCAACCTACTTCTCGGCTGCAGTCGTCCTGATTCCCAATTAGTTTTTTTCTCCCATTGTTTCCCGGTGGACTAGCCCAGCCGCTACGTTGTCACTAGATGGGTGAACTGCCTCAGACGTCGCATACGTTACTGCACAGACTTCACTTCTTCTTGCAAAGCACCTGTCCCTGGAGCACTTGTTGTTCAATATTCCGTCTATTCCCTCATCAGGTCCAACACATGAACGAAGGAAGACCTCACAGCGTACTTGCAGACTACAGGTGACACGTAAAATCAATGGGAGCGGGGTACAACTGTAAAACTGAAAGGACCAACCTTCGCACATCCGTCCACGTTGACGTGCCGTGTCAGACTGGTGGCGCCAAAGAGGCGCAATCTCCGGACCCCCTTGCCTTTGTGACGTCATACTGGCCTGGGGCGATTTTCATTGGCTCCCTGTGCCACGTCACTGTCAGTGACCAATCTGGTGCCACTGACGTCACACAGTTTTGGCGGCAAAACGGAGGGGCCAGCGCCATATTGGCGTCCTAAATGGGCCTATACCACAGGCCTTAATACTTTTCTTTTACGAATATCTCGTCAACGCGAGAACACTACACGTATACGTCCCACATACGTCAAATTGTTGGCCACAACATAGAGAACTCTCGGGTAAAGTGGATATGACTTTTACAGCAGGTGTGGGAGAAATATAAGAGGGGGGAAGGAACACCATCACAATATATATATATATATATATATATATATATATGTATATATATATATATATATATATATATATATATATATATACATATATATATATATATATATATATATATATATATATATATATATATATATATATATATATATATACATATATATATATATATATATATATATATATATATATATATATATATATATATATATATATATATATATATATATATGCCTATACTTGCATAAACCACAAGTGAAGATTAACAATCTTTGGACAACATCCACCAGTGGGCCTTGAACCCAGAAAGCACAACTACCTTCCAGTAGCTGCCATAACTAGTACACCTTAACCCACTACATCATCAGACCCTACAAAAGAAGTAGAGACTTCGAGATATATATAAACCTCAAATATCTGCACTTCCCGAGGGTACTAGACAAGTGAGAGGTTACTATACGTTTTTTCATCAAGCCACTGTTAATGTGAGAGAACTCGTGTCCATGCTATAAGCCTATACTTGCATGAACCACAAGTGAAGATTAACAATCTTTGGACAACACCCACCAGTGGGCCTCGAACCCAGAAAGCACAACTACCTTCCAGTAGCTTCCATAACTAGTACGCCTTAACCCACTACACCATCCAGGAGTAGTGGGTTAAGGAAATGAGTTTTGGAGAAATCTTATTTCAGCTAAGCCCTGATGCTAAGAAAATAGTTTGAGGGATAGATGCCCTAAATCAAAAGATAGTAAATACAGAATATGTGGTCATATTCAATGAGACACACACACACACACATATATATATATATATATATATATATATATATATATATATATATATATATATATATATATATATATATATATATATATATTATATATATGAGGTCTTCGAACAGGGATTGTTATATGTGTGTGTTTTCTGTAAATATTAACACAATATTCATATATATATATATATATATATATATATATATATATATATATATATATATATATATATATATAATATATATATATATATATATATATATATATATGAATATTGTGTTAATATTTACAGAAAACACACACACATATAACAATCCCTGTTCGAAGACCTCATCAAGCTCTTTGGAAGAAGGGTGGGTGCCAAAGATACATCAAGCATTTCCTCTCTGGATCGCGACACTGAGGCGCTGGAACGTGAAACTGGCCGCTCTTGAGTCTCTAGTTTGCTTAATGATTTCCTCACCAACTTCCTTTAACCCCCCCCCCCCCCCCCCACCCCCCTTAGTTCACATTTACCGAAGGCGCCTATCGGCACGAACCTTTAACAACGTTCTAGGTCCATGTACATATTATATATATTTTGTATTTATATAATTTATTTATTTACATATTTATATATCTATTTATTATCCTGTCTTAAGGATTCCCTGATCTTCAGTACTGGATCGGCGCCACAGACGAGGCCGAAGAGGGACTGTGGCTGTGGGTGAACCAAGAACCTGTACAGATGGGCACGCCTTACTGGGCCAACTTTGGCTGTGACAACAAGCAAATGCCCACTGGTGGAACTTCTCAAAATTGTCTCTGTGTTGATAGTAATTATCACTTGTATTTCAATGATTTAGGGTGTTCTGGTGCACATAACGCAGTCTGCGAGCAATAGTCCAGGATGTATTATGTGCATAGTTTCTTTAACACTGATCAGAGTTACAACATTTCTGAAGCTCATTGCCAACCCTGAGCAGAGAAGGAGGCGTTACTGAGCCAACAATGGCAGTGGCACCAACCGGTGGAGACTCTCAAACCTGTTTATTACCAATTACAGCTTGTACTTCAACTATTTTATTGCAGTGATTTGCCTTGCAATAATACCTTGTATGTAGTCTATGAATACTGTACTAGGAAAAAAATCCCAGTGATATACAAATTAGTTTGTTTTATTAACTTCAAAATGTATATTAATATTTTTGTATTTTCTATGAAACTTAAGTTATTAACTACACAGTTTTTCAGTGCTATTGTCAATCAAATATAGAATATTTAAATATAAAATTCAATTGATTTTTTTTCATAAATGTTTATACTTTTATAATATATATTTTAGTATGGTTATTAAGTGATGACACCCTGCAATAATCTTCATTGATAATCAACAACCGATTACTTCCCAGTGAATATTTACGTTGGGTAACAATGTAAAACAGTTTATTATTCACAACAACATTGAGGGAGAGGTGATGTCATCCTCATTTTCTGTCAGCTGGAAATTTGAAATCCCTTAACTAATTGAAGTACAAAATGTCTCTCTTTAACAGTTGTCAAATCTAATCTCATTACATGAGTGCTGGTGATTCAAGTGTTCATTCCTACTTGTTTCTCTGCTCTCGTATGCACTATCTATGGCCAAATATCCGTTACTTAGTAAAAACGTGATAGAGCGGACAATCCAATTATAAAAATACTAGAATCCCAATTTTTCCCAATTCGCAGGCATATGGAAATTTTGTTTGAAATAACTATGTATCTAAAAATGATGAGCCGATTTTATGCTTCACCATCTTTTTTATGGGCTTAAGTGTTCGAAGTGTCCCCCAATATTTGTACCTAAGCCATATTACTTTAAAATTGTAATCATAGATGTCATCTGATATCATGGTTGTTGTATTGAGTGCATTTTCTATTGCATTATTCCTTGAAACCTTTCCTGGAAATGATCCTCATATTGTGCTTCAGTGAACCAATGTATAATCCTAAAATGCTATCCTCATGTACCTAGTAATCCTTGTTTCTTTATTGTGTATTGTTATTATTGTGTATTATTCTGATCTGCTTTTGTGCCAAAATTTCTTCAAATTATCTGTAAATATTTTTTGTTGATTTGGGCACTCAGTTTCCACCTGTGTCCCCTAGTGCGTGTGCCCCTTGTGTTAAATAGCCTATCTTTATCAACCCTGTCGATTCCCTTGAGAATCTTGAATGTGGTGATCATGTCCCCCCTAACTCTTCTGTCTTCCAACGAAGTGAGGTTCAATTCCCGTAGTCTCTCCTCGTAGCTCATACCTCTCAGCTCGGGTACGAGTCTGGTGGCAAACCTTTGAACCTTTTCCAGTTTAGTCTTATGCTGGACTAGATATGGACTCCATGCTGGAGCCGCATACTCCAGGATTGGTCTGACATATGTGGTATATAATGTTCTGAAAGATTCCTTACACAAGTTTCTAAAGGCCGTTCTTATGTTAGCCAACCTGGCATATGCTGCTGATGTTATCCTCTTGATATGAGCTTCAGGGGACAGGTCTGGCGTGATATCAACCCCCAGGTCTTTCTCTCTCTCTGACTCTTGAAGTATTTCATCTCCCAAGTGATACCTTGTATCTGGTCTCCTGCTTCCTACTCCTATCTTCATTACATTACATTTGCTTGGGTTAAACTCTAACATCCATTTGTTCGACCATTCCTGCAGCTTGTCCAGGTCTACTTGAAGCCTCAAGCTGTCCTCCTCTGTCTTAATCCTTCTCATAATTTTGGCGTCGTCAGCAAACATTGAGAGGAATGAGTCTATACCCTCTGGGAGATCATTTACGTATATCAGAAACAGGATAGGTCCAAGCACAGAGCCCTGTGGGACTCCACTGGTGACTTCCCGCCATTCTGAGGTCTCACCCCTCACTATAACTCTCTGCTTCCTATTGCTTAGGTACTCCCTTATCCACTGGAGCGACCTACCAGTTACTCCTGCCTGTTTCTCCAGCTTATGCATCAACCTTTTATGGGGTACTGTGTCAAAGGCTTTCCGACAGTCCATAAAAATGCAGTCCGCCCATCCTTCTCTTTCTTGCTTAATCTTTGTCACCTGATCATAGAATTCTATCAAGCCTGTAAGGCAAGATTTACCCTCCCTGAACCCATGTTGATGGGTTGTCACGAAGTCTCTTGTCTCCAGATGTGTTACTAGGTTTTTTCTCACAATCTTCTCCATCACCTTGCATGGTATACAAGTTAAGGACACTGGCCTGTAGTTCAGTGCCTCCTGTCTGTCACCCTTTTTAAATATTGGTACTACATTAGCAGTCTTCCATACTTCTGGTAGGTCTCCCGTTTCCAGTGACCTACTATACACTATGGAGAGTGGCAAGCTAAGTGCTCCTGCACACTCTTTCAATACCCATGGTGAGATTCCATCCGGCCCAACAGCTTTTCTCACATCCAGCTCCAATAGGTGCTTCTTGACCTCATCTCTTGTAATTTCGAACCTTTCCAAGGTCACTTGGTTTGCTGCCACCTCTCCTAGCAGCGTGACTTCTTCCTGTTCTATTGTAAAGACCTCCTGGAACCTTTTGTTGAGTTCTTCACACACCTCTTTGTCATTCTCTGTGTACCTGTCCTCGCCCACCCTAAGTTTCATCACCTGTTCCTTCACTGTTGTCTTCCTCCTGATGTGACTGTGTAGTAGCTTTGGTTCGGTCTTGGCTTTATTAGTTATATCATTTTCATACCTTTTCTCAGCTGCTCTTCTCACACTAACATACTCGTTCCTGGTTCTCTGGTATCTCTCTCTACTTTCTGGTGTTCTGTTATTACGGAAGTTCCTCCATGCCCTTTTGTTCAGCTCCTTTGCTTTCATACATTCCCTAACACATTCCTGTGTGTGTGTGTGTGTGTGTGTGTGTGTGTGTGTGTGTGTGTGTGTGTGTGTGTGTGTGTGTGTGTGTGTGTGTGTGTGTGGGCAGAGAGGGAGGGGGAAGGAAAGAGAGGGAGAGAGAGAGAGAGAGAGAGAGAAAGAGAAAGAGAAAGAGAAAGAGAGAGAGAGAGAGAGAGAGAGAGAGAGAGAGAGAGAGAGAGAGAGAGAGAGAGAGAGAGAGAGAGAGAGAGGAGAGAGAGAGAGAGAGAGAGAGAGAGAGAGAGGGGGGGGGGGAGAGCAGGAGAGAGAGAGAGGGAGAGCAGGAGAGAGATAGTGGGAGAGATAGAGAGTGTGAGAGAGAGAGTGGGAGAGAGGGAGTGGGAGAGGGAGAGAGGGGGAGAGAGTGGGGAGGGGAAGAGTGTGTGTATGGGCGATGCGGGGGACTGGGGATGAGTGGGGGGGCGGAGATGGCGACCAGGTCTGGTCAGGTCAGGTGGGTGGGTCTAGAGGGGGGGGGGGGATGGTAAGGTCCTGATCCCAGGTGTTAATGCCTTTTCCCCTGACTAATGGATTGTGTGTGTGTGTGTGTGTGCGTGTGTGTGTGTGTCTGTTTTAGCGTGTGCACACTTGTGTGCGTGGATACGTTCGTGGGCGAGCCTGCGTGTATGTGTCAAGATATCCCTTATGCGTTACCTCTGCCTAAATGAGCCACCCTGAGATTTTTAAATATATATGATATCCTGAACAAGAATTTGATAATATTTTACCTCAATCTGTACACCTGATTAATTGACCAGAGAGGGGGTACATACCAGTCTCCTTCCGCTCACACAACCAGATGAGTAAGGACGATGTATGATGACGATGGTTATCCGTCGTTGTCTCCCACTAGGTGATTCACTAAGTGCTGTTAGATTGATGAGGTCGGTTCTTCTCTGTCTACACAAAGCTCTGGAGTCAGTCACTGTATCGTTGTGTGACTGTTCACTAATTCACTGTACCACTGATCACAGTCACCACTCAACAACACAGTCAGGTAGTTCTGCGGTGGGGTGTCCCACCCGGTCAGGTAGCACACTTACATGCACCGGTGAAGCCACTAGCTCCACTTTGGTTTCTTCGCCAAATCTTCGCACTATCGCTAGCGATATGACTATGCTATGTTGCACCCTGCTAGCTACACACTGCGAGAGGCCAAATACTATTATCTAGCCTCTATACTCCTTCAATGTCCCGAGAAATTGTCGAATTTCCGCGGATCTCACTAATTGTGTGTCTCCCCTACCGTCTCCCGGCCTACTGTGTGTGTGTGTGTATGTGTGTGTGTGTGTGTTTGTGTCTATGTGTGTGTGTGTGTATAATTAAGCAAGTATAGTTACCTAAGTGTAGTTACAAGATGAGAGCTACGCTCGTGGTGTCCCGTCTTCCCAGCACTCTTTGTCATATAACCCTTTGAAACTACTGACGGTTTTGGCCTCCACCACCTTCTCACCTAACTTGTTCCAACCGTCTACCACTCTGTTTGCGAAAGTGAATTTTCTGATATTTCTTCGGCATCTGTGTTTAGCTGGTTTAAATCTATGACCTCTTGTTCTTAAAGTTCTAGGTCTCAGGAAATCTTCCCTATCGATTTTATCAATTCCTGTTACTATTTTGTATGTAGTGATCATATCACCTCTTTTTCTTCTGTCTTCTAGTTTTGGCATATTTAATGCCTCTAACCTCTCCTCGCAGCTCTTGCCCTTCAGTTCTGGGAGCCACTTAGTAGCATGTCTTCACACCTTTTCCAGTTTGTTGATGTGCTTCTTAAGATATGGGCTCCACACAACCGCTGCATATTCTAGCTTTGGCCTAACAAAAGTCTTGAACAATATCTTTAGTATATCGCCATCCATGTATTTAAAAGCAATTCTGAAGTTAAAAAGCGTGGCATAGGCTCCTCGCACAATATTCTTTATGTGGTCGTCAGGTGAGTTTTTTATCTAGAACCACCCCTAGATCTCTTTCTTTATCATAATTCTTTAAAGAATTCTCACATAATATATAGGTTGTGTGGGGTCTATGTTCTCCTATTCCACATTCCATAACATGGCATTTATTAACATTAAATTCCATTTGCCAAGTTTTGCTCCATATACTTATTTTGTCCAGGTCATCTTGAAGGGCATGACAATCATCTAAGTTTCTTATCCTTCCTATTATCTTAGCATCATCAGCAAACATGTTCATATAATTCTGTATACCAACTGGTAGATCATTTATGTAGACAATAAACATCACTGGTGCAAGAACTGAACCCTGTGGTACCCCACTTGTGACATTTCTCCAGTCCGATACATTGTCTCTGATCACTGCCCTCATTTTTCTATCAGTCAGAAAATTTGTCATCCATGTTAGAAGCTTACCTGTCACCCCTCCAATATTTTCCAGTTTCCA